GCCCCGCCCGACCGGCCGGGCCGCCCCCAGCCCCGCTGCCCGCTCCCCGTGGTCCGCGCCGGTCGGCGCCGCGGGCGGGGCGTGCTCCTTCCCCCCAAGACGGACGGAGGGCACTGCCGGCTCTGCGCTCCTCCAGGACTGTTGCTGTTGCCGCCGCCGCCGCCGCCGCCGCTTCATTGCACATTCAAGTGGAAAATTTTCAGGAGTCAGCAGAAACATTGTGTCCAAAAAAGACTGAGTCGCAGTTACCACCAAACCCAGGAGGAGACTGTGCCTGGAAAACTTCCTTCCCGTAGGAAATACTGGGGGATTTGTTTGTTTATTGGAAGAGAAATGATCCCCAGGAGGGGAAGAAAACCAGGGTACACTTTTAGTCTTTGTTCATAGCAGCAACACTTGTTTTCTTTGAAAAGTCCGCTTGAAAGAGAGTTGAACTATGAGCGTGCCCCCCCCAGGTATTTGTATTTTAAAAGAAAAATCACAGCAACGTTTTTATGGAGTGGAAGACAACGAGGGGCTCCCATCTACCTTATCTTCCTTCCACGAAAATAAAATCCGATCAGGATTCGCCTCACTTTTTAATTCTATCTTTTAAAAGATTTATTTAAAGTTGAGCGTTGTGACTGTATAAAAATATTTTTGAAACAATGAAATGCCAGCCACCAGCATTTCTCAGGAGGCTTGTTAGCTTTTTAGAAGCAAGTGGCTGCCTGTGATTTGCAGAAATGGAAACTGACCCCAGTGAGCACTGGAAACTTAAGAGACAGATGATGTTCCAGGAACTGGGAATGAAAAAAAGACAGAGTTTAAAAACAGTGCGTTGGAGGGAGCCCAGGTCCTGGGACAGAAAGGTCTGTAAAGCTTATCAGATTTCAAAATAGTCAGGAAATATTAAAAATGGTACAGATACAGCAGAGGAGCACACTAGCAGTTCAGGACAACCACAGGTTTCTCTCTCCCAGCCACCACCTGGGTTGTTTTGGAAGCTTAGGTGGTCTGAGCACTCGTGGTGAGCCGGGTGCCTGCAGGTGGTTACTGGGGCGGATGGACTCTTCCTCCCTTACGGGAAATGTGAACCTCCTCGCTGCCGGAGCCAGGAGGGAGCTGCCTTCTCTGCAGGCTGCAGGGATCCTGACGTGTCTTCCGCGCCGGGGCTGCTCTGCTAGGTTACTGGGAGGCAGTAGTTGGGGAACAGTCTTCAGGCTGTGCCCGTGCTTTCTCTTATTGTTGGGTTTGTGTTTTTCTGTAAATAGGATCTTTGGGGCTCAGCACCTCCGAATGCTTATGAGGGCCAGACAAAGATCCACCTTTGCTAAGAATCCTTCTTTAGAAGGAAATAGTAGAGCTAATTATAAAGTGACTCCAGAAAGACAAATGGGTTTAGTTGAACCTTTGTCAATGCAGCGAGGTTTTGAATTGTTGATTATTTTGAGGGGGAAAGGCTTATTTTTCTAATCTATTTCCATAAATGGTCACATATTTTTGTTTAGTATTTCTTTGTATGTGTAACTCTGTTGAACTCTTAGGTTTCAAGTTTTCAACAGAGTTTACAATTCTTTTATTTGTTGCCGGTACCAAAAAATGAACTGATAAGCTGTATCCATTACTGGGCCTTGCTGATGTGCCAAGGTAGACTACTTTATTTTTACTTTAATGGTAAATATTATTTGATCTGCAATTTCGGGGGACTGTTAGAATACTTTCTTTAAAAAACAAGTTTGAAACAAAACTGATGTCACACTTTGCCTTGGAAAAAAAGAGTTTAAAAATTATAGGGAAGAATCTTTGTGTAAATTCTTCCTCTGTGTGATCTTTTATAAAATAGACTCCAGAGCATGTGCTCGAGAGATTATTGAAGTTTTTTCCTTTTCCCTTTTTAAAAAATAATTTTTCCCCAAACAAAAACAACAAATAACCCAGAACTCACCAGAACATATAATGAAATTTCATTTAAAGAAGGAGGACATTTAAGCTTAGTTTGACCTAGACTGAAGTGAATCTCTCACTGAGCAGCCCTTTTCCTAAAAGCACCCCCACCCCCTGCACACTGATTACGGGAGAGGGTGGGCTGGGGAGGGCAGTCTCGGGGAGTCAGCTTCCTTTTCCCCTCTTCCTCCATTTGCTGCATACAGCAGGAATTATATATTCTTGTATGTAGTTTGGAAGCCCGTGTCCTCTTTCATTTGGGAGGACAATTAAACCATAAGGAAAAAAAATTCAAGATTTTTTTTTCCCTGCTTGAGCTTCAGTAGTTTATAAACAGTTTTGAGTTTTGTTAGTTCTGACAGCACAGAGCAGTAAGAGAAGAGGGCATTTCATAATGGCAGAATTTGGAAAGACTGTTACACTTGTAATGCTACATCGACAAGGTCTAGCCATTATCTGTTGTCATTTTCAGTAGGGAAGTGTGTAACAGGAACAGTTTAAAAAATGCAGATCCCAAAGGTTAGCTAGACCTTTGAAGAAATGAGTTGCGCCATTAACAGCATTAGCAGGTTGCTTGCTTCAGAAATGGATTGATCTCCCGTGTATGGCGCCTGCAAGAGCCTGCACATCTGTGGGATTACATTTCTTTAATCTCCTGTGTTATTATGTGTTAATTGTGAGCATAATTATACTGCTTGCAAATGGAAATTGTGATGTTTTATTACTGGAAAGGTCGTTGAAGATAACTGTGTGTATGATCTCTTGGACTTAGAAAGACCATATTCAGACATAGGTAGTAGGTCCACGCATTATTACACTTTTATTTTAGGCATTTGGCTCTGTTCCCATAAAGAGATTGTGAAAAAAAGCGTTGTGTATGTGTGTGTTTATAGTTTTTGTTCCTCCAAGTGAAAGCTGTGTGGAATCTGTTTAATGATAAAACTTTTAGTGTTGGTCTGTTTTCTCCAAAGACTTAAAGAGTTCTGGCCAAAGCAAATGTCCAGCTTTCTCTGTTAAACTGCAAGAAAATCAGCTGTCCTTTCTGTTAGTCAATGTGGGGATTGCAGCCTCCCCTTTGGAGTTCAGTGACTGAACCTGCAGACTGCTAATGTCCTACTTCTGAACTGAGCAAGAAAAATGTATTGTAAGCTTATCCCTTTTGGCAAACTTAGCCTCTGCTGCTGGGCTGGTTGTGGATTGACCCATGGCTGGCATTGTCTTTTATAGCCGCATGGTGCTTTTTCTTGTTTTATCTACAGAAGGTACAGATCACTTTGTGGTATTTAAATTAGATCCTAAATCGAGTTTGAACAATACTAGTGATATATTTCGTTCTTTCATATTCATCAAAGTGATAAAATCAAACAGTTTAAAGTCTATCCTAGCACTTAATGGTTCAGTTTTTTTTTTTTTAACAGATACCTAATTTAGGCCCTATTGTAGTTACTGTGCATGTCTGAAACTAGGGATGTTCTGGGCTTTTTCTCTTCTGGAGTAGTTTGTGTACTGCTTGGATATTTGGATCTAAATTTTTGGAGTGTTTTTGTGAGGGTATTTACTTTTTGAACTCTCGGTCTGTAAAATTCTCTTTATAAGCTTCTTTGGCTCAGTTCCATGTTTGAACTTGGGGTTGAAATTTGACTATTTCATCAGAAACCTCCAGGCTTTGTAGTTAGTGGTGCAGAGTAAGAGAATTTTGAAATATGTGTTTTGATTTTAGTTGAAGTGATTGAGATGGCCTGAGGGTTGGGTTACTCTCAACTCTTAGGTTCTCCTTCTGTCCACTGGCTTTTTGCATTGTTGGGAGGACTCTCAAAACCCAGTGTCTGAAATCTGGGAGTCCGGGCTAACAGTGAAATGTGCTGGGCTCTCCTGATTGGAGAATGTTTGCAGCGGGGTAGGGGTAGGGGTAAATCCTTCCAAGATGCTTTTTTATTTTTTTTTATTTATTTTTTTTCTTCAGACCCAGAGTAGGCAGGGATTTCACCCCCTCATTACTGTCCTGATAAAAGAGTTTTTGCCCATTTTTCATGATTCATGCTAGTTTTAAGGGTCTGTCCTAAAATTTCATTAGCATTTTTAATTGGAAGGAAGAGGGCCCTGGAAAATGGATTTAAAAGAAAAGCCAACTTACTGATGAACAAGTTCATCATCTATCAACTCCAGTGGGCAATTCAGGTTGCTTTTAGGCATCTGACAGGTTTAGATGTATATGTAAGGTGACTGGGAGGAATTTACAGCACAGCAAAGATGAGTATTGTTGTTTTTACTGATATGTAAACTGAAAAACTGCTGCTAATGGTGGGAAATGTTAATTATGTGAGAACATATTGAACTTATATTCTCTGGCATGAACTTTTAAAAAATGCATCAACTGCTGCTTTTTTTTTTATAGGCACAGCTTTCTAATTATCATAATTCAGTTCAGCTCTGCTCTTGGATGGAGTTCAAGTGCAATCTCAGTTTAACTTGAAAGGAGTTTTGTTTTTTTTTAAACTGAGAATGTTTAAAAAATTTTTGAAAAGTTCATCCAAGAATGTTGTCTGCTTAGGTGTGGGTAAATTGGTGGAAGGAAATGAGTGCTTGTCTCTGATAGTTTCGTAGGTCTGACTGTCCGCCCTCTTTTTTTTCTCGTTCTGCGTGCAAACCTACATCTTGTGCATTTTTGCTTA